TGGCTGTAGGGGTTCCCTGAGAACTCGCTCCCTGGAAGAAAGCAAGGAAGATGTGAAATACAGTTAAGAATGAAGATTTATGTCTGCTACTATATTAAGCTAGTGTTCGTGTTGAATCTGTATGCCAGCAGGAAAACTAGTGTATCTAGCTTCCTTGCCCAGCTGGGACTGTGCCCTTCAGGACACTGTAGTGTTTGTTCAGTGCAAAGTTGCTTACCCATACAAATAAAAATCGTGAGATTGCCATCTTCAGAATCAATAAATTAGTTTAAAATAATGAAATTCAATAATATAAATTAAAAAAACTGGTTTATTTTTTGTTGCCTTCTGACTTCTGATTCTCAGGTTACAGTAGGATTGCATATGCAAGCTTTTTCTTTGAATAACTATCAGCTTGCTTTTAAATAAAATCTAAGGCTCTCCAATAGCATCAAGACAGCAGGTATGTGAGTCTGATGGGACAAGCTCACAATAAACTCATTGGAACCAGCAGTGTTGTTGATGACAGTATGTATTGCTAAGTTTTGTTTGTAGGGTACTGAGGATAACAATGTATTTGTGAAGAGTACTGTTCATTACTGGAAATATTCTGACAGTAGGGTGGGCTTAAATATAAAACAGAATGTAAAACATATGAATCACGCTTTCTTACTCTATATGATGGTGTTAGTTAGAAAAGTGATTCATATATGATAAACCCCACCTTTATGCTTAGTTAGTGAGTTACAGAGAAAACTGGCTGAATTCTAGTTTCAGAAAATAATTTTCTAATGATTACTGCTTTAGGTGTTATTCTGAATCTGAAAGACAAGCTGGGCCACAGCTCCCTTTGTCATATTCAGTAAAATGGGTCCAAACCAAAATACTTGCAAGCTTTGTGATCTAATAAGCCACTGACCCAAGATTTGAATGTTGTAGAGTCTTCTTAAATATTGAATTTTATTGTGCATAAGAAACTGAGTCTCCTTGTTTTCTAGAAGGCTGTGCGGGGCTAAGGGACTTATATTTGGTAACTGAGGAGGTATGGTGCTGCATTCAAAATAAATCAATCTCCCAAAACTTAAAAATATATGATTCCGTTAAGTAAAAATGTGCCATTAACTGATCATAACCTCAATTTAATGCAGTACCAACAGGATGGAGACAATTAGTGCCATCTGAAAGGCATTACGTGCTTAGAAGACAGTGAAAGAACAGCAGCATGACTATTAGCTTCTGGTCCACCCTGAGGCGGGGGTGGAGTTGTTACGGCAGAAGTGTTTGGAAAGCACCTGGGGGTCCTGCTAGACACCACGGAGGAGGGAAAGAAGGCAATGCAAGACGAGCTGGATGCCTGTGATACAATTACCAAAGAAATGTCAATTAATTATACTGTAATCTCTGCAAATCTCCCCTCACTGGAGAGTTAAAGCCAAAACCACAGATTCTCAGATGGGGGAAATGAAGTCTGTTGAAGTTAAGGGATTTGCACTAGTTTAAACTTGAGGAGAATCTGTTCAGCCAGGTTTTTTAAAGACACTCAGGGTAATAACTGTAATAACAATAAAGTAGTCAGTACGAAAATGTGTATGTATCAAAAACAATCACCATCCAAAGGTATTTTAGTCACAGTAGTTTTTAGTTTCAGCATAAAACCTCATTTTGTATGACAGACCTTGCTAAATACTGTTTTAATGATAGTAACTCAGCATGTTTCCGTATCTAGAAACATTTTGCACTGAAAATCCTGACAGCTAGCTAGGAAGGAATAGGTGAAACCTGCTAAGGTGACCAAGATACTGTGGGGTAGGATGCAAATGCAAAAAGCAATTTCTCTAGTGGAAATGACTTACCTATGGGATATACTGGAATGAGTTTGCCCCCCAAAGAAGGAAAAAACCTATCCAGATAAGATTTCTGCTTTGAAATACCTCATATAAACATCACTTCTCTACATGGGGAGAAGTTCTGGTATTTCAAGGCTTCTCTCTCATCCTCTTCTGAGTTGTCACCCTAAACCGTTTATTGTGTTCTTAAAGCACGGGTTAAGTAGAGGAGAAAGAGCCCCAGCTATGGAGAGCTGGGGAGGAGGGAGGGCAGCCACTGGAAACAGTGTTTATTGACGAGGAGTGAAAGCATGCATGCAGCGGGATAATGAGCTTTTGAGCTCAACTGTGACCAAGAGGAACTGAGCTATCGCCTTCCCCGATCACTAATGAAACAAGTGTAATTTCCTCATCAACATTGGATTCTGTTTAACGACTCCCTGCCGTTGCCATCACCAGCCCTCTGCAGGCTCTACACTGCTCTGTGTAAACTGCAATTCCCTTCAGTGGATGCTTACTTCACCAAAACACTTTGCAGCAACTTGATGGCCTTTCTGGGAAAGAGGAAGAATTGAGACAGGGATCAAAGGTGCTCTGTTACCTGTGCTCAGATGCATAGGTTAAGTGTAGCATAATACCTGATTCATCCCTCTTTGAGTGCCTAACCCCTGCTTTTTCAAGCGTGTGTGCTCAGAGCCTACTGGCTCTCATCCACATCTACAGCCTGGGACCTGAAGTTACAGGCAAGGGCAAATGCAGGGTATATCTCTTACCACATCATCCACATAAATCTCAAAGACATTTGCATGCATGGCTGACCATGTTGCATGGATGTACTGCTACTGGAGATAAGCTCTTCTCTAGACTATACAAGTCAAAGTCTAGTGAAAGGTTGTCATGGATAGAACAGAGCAGCTTTGGTTAGCACTGGTCAAACAATCTTCTCAGAAAGAGTTTTCCACTGGAAAATGCTGTCTCATCAAAATGGAAATGTTCTGCACGAGCTTGTCAGCTTCAGTGGAGTTTTAGAAAGAAAAGTTCTGAAATGATTGCAAATTGAAACAAAGTATTATGTTTCAACTTTCTTGTTTTGTTTCATTTTGCCTCTCATATCTCATTTAATTTCTTTTCAACGCTTTTATTATTTTAATATGTCTTGACATCTAGAACATGTTGACATTAGTGAAATGTTTCATCCTGATGTTTGCAAATTGAACTATTTCAAGATTCTGACTCCTCATCCCAATGCAAGATGAAAACAAATGTCAAAAAATCAGAGTTTTGCACGGGTTAGAAATTCTGCTTTCTGACCGGTTCTATTTTTAGCTCTGCATCTTTATTTAGAGAAGACAGAGCCTCTTTCTCATATTCACTCACATCTGGACAGTAAGGTTTGTTTGCATGCTAGTATGTTTCTTAAAGATACTCCCTGAGTGGTTATCTTGCTGGCTTCTTGTTTCCAGTGTAGTTAAAGGACTGACCCCTGATCTTTCTTGGCCTGGGGTCATGTAACAAACCATTGAGAATATCATATCTGTTTTCTCTGTTCAACCTGGGCTCTTAACAGAGGTTGCAAGCAAGCACAGAGGATCTATCTCATGAGGCCTATATTCTGTGCAATCTGTGCTCTGGGAACCTTTACTAACAGTATTTCTTGGTATCTGTATTTAAATCTTGGCACGTTTAGTCTTCTAATACAGAAACCATGAGGCATGAAGTGAGCCTAGCAGGTGGCAGGTTCAGAGCAAATAAGGGAGGTAGTTTTCACACAATATGTAGTTAAGCTACAGAACTTCTTGCCACAGGTTGCTACAGATGTTAAAGGCTTACATGGGTTCAAGAGACAGTGTTTTAAATTTGTGGAGGAAAAACCTATTGAGGGTGTTTAATATTAAATAGAAAGATACTAAGTCTGGTTTAGGAAGTCTTTGAGCTGCAACTTGTTGGAGGGTGGGACATCTTTTGAGAAAGTACCGATACGTGCTTGCTCTATTCTTATACCCTTCCCCACGCATTCACTTTTGGCCCCTGACAGAGAGTAGTGGCTGCAGAGATCTGCAGTGTGACCCATTAAAGCCAAGTCTTATGTTCCTTCCCAGGAAGCGTCTTTATCTCCAGCTTGTTGGCTTCAGTCACATTAGAAGACAGGAGTAGAAGGGCTTCCAGGCTGGGTCTGACCCGTGGGGTATGACTGAAACAGCCAGAACATGATGCTCTGTGGAAAGATGCAGTAACTACTGCAGGATGCCCAAGTAGGCTGCAGGAGAAACTTCCTGTAATTGAATATTGACATCAGATTTAACGTAAAGATATCCATTTGACTTGAATAATTTTTTTTTTTTTTTTTTTTTTAAGTAAACTCAACTGTGTTCTTTATCATCCTGTTCCTTTTCTTTTGGGGGGTATTTGTGTGGTTTTGGGGACACTGCTGTCTGAGGGATAAGAAGCCTCCACATCAAGGAGCTGAAATACTCTATTCTTGGATAAGTGACCCCTGTGATTAGTGGTCTTAAAATTTTTGTCCCAGTTTAGATGTCGGTATCATCCTTGTGATGAGGATGTTAAACTTACATAGCCGTCACTGAACAGTTGAGAAGTTGAGAACAGTTAGAAGCTGAGAAGAGCCTGTTTTTCGCAAGTACCTATTCAAAGAGGCAGCTATTTTGGTGTTACTAATCATTTCCATATGCCATGAGCTTCTGTAAGTTTTGACATATAACTGACTTAAACGTTGACAACTGTCTACCTACTGTTACTGTGTGTGGGGTTTTAATTGATTTATACTGTCTTAGTGCTTCTCTGATTCTGGAGGCAAACCATCTCCCTGAAAAACTTAGTGTAGAAAGAGATGCCCTAAAATTTGCCAACTCCGCACCACCTCAAAAGTTCAGCAAGCTGGTCAACTATACCAAGGGACTAAAGTGGGGGTGAGGAGGGGATCAATCCACAATCTTTTCCTGATCTGGAGGTCAATCACATCATCTTCACAGCATAGCCTGAGATTTTGTTCTGCCATAGGATCATAAGCGGTAGGTAGCTTGTTAGCTCTGGAATGTCACCATAGGTATTAGCCAGTACTTCACGGTATATAAGCAGTGATTTGTCATTTAAAGGTGTCAAGACTTTGACCTGCAAACATTTCCTACCTGTGATATGTTCACTGTCCTCGCTGCAGTGTATGTTTGTTTAGCTAGCTCTTCC